CCATGGCAGCGGGGGCGGGGGGCCTAAATCGCCATGGTAACGGGGGCGGGGCCCGAGCTCACCATGGCAGCGGAGGCGGGGCCGGCAGGTTGCCGTGGCAGCGGGGGCGGGACTCACCGGTCGCCATGGCAGCGGAGGCGTGGCTATGGCACCGAGGGGGCGGAGTTAGGCACCGAGGGGTGGGCCCTGTCTGTCGCCACGGCAGCAGGGGCGGGGCTCCCACGGGGCGTGGCCCTGAGGGGGGCGTGGCCCTGAGGGGGGCGTGGCCCTGAGGGGGGCGTGGCCAGCGCCCCCGGTCCCGCCGCGGTGCCGGTTCCCCCGCTCTGTCCCCGCGGCACCGTCGCCTTCTCGGGGCTCTCCTGTTGCCGGGCACCGCCTCCCCGGCATCCCCCTTGGCGGGAGCCGCGCTGTCCTCCGGGGCTGTGCCGGCCCTGCCTTGCACCGGCCCCCGGACACGCTCCCTCCCCCGGGGCCGCCGCTCCGCAGCCCGGGCCGGGTCCGGCTCCTCCCGGCCCCGCGGCACCATCTAGTGGCGCCGCCCGGCTCGGGCCCTGGCCAGCCCCGGGGCGCGGGTCAGCCCGGGCTGGCCCCGCCGGTTCTCCCGGCCCCGGGGCCACGCGTGTCCCGGCGGGGTCAGCCCCGACCCGGGGGCAGCGCTGGAGCCACCGGCGCTAATGATGCTGCTCGGCGGCGTCGGCCCCCGCCCCAGGGGCTCCCGGCCGCAGCTGGTCCCGGGGAGCGGCGGGAGCGGCTCCTGGCTCCCCCCGGTGCGGCGGAGGGAGCGGAGGGGAAGGCATGGCCCCGGGTCCGCGGTGGCGGCTGCGGGCCGGGGGGTTCCGCAGGAACTGGTCCCCCCTGGCCGCCTCGGCTCTGGGCTGGGAGCGGTACCGGCCCCTGGAGAACCGCGGCGTGGACCGGACCGCTGTCACCGCAGGAAAGCGACCCCGCGAGACGAGGGATGACGGGGGGCTGGTCCCCAGGTGGGGGCAGGGAAGGGGAAGGGGAGAAGAGGGGAGAGCATCCATCAGCAGGGGCACCTTTTACCTCACATCCCCCAGGACAGGGAGCGCCGGGCTGGCCTCCATCCCTGTCACCGCTTGGGGCACTGGGTGACACTGGGAGGGTTTGGGGGTCTGGGGCGGCGTGAGTTGGCGCAGAGTCCCACTGCGTCCCTGGAGAGGGCCAGGATGGGTGGGGAGGACCCTCGACCCCAGGCACAGCCACTACCAGCAGCCCGTGAGCCTGTACCTGTGCTGGGCAGGGAGGGGGGTGAGTGTCGGTGCCTGAGCCACCAGCACGGCTTAGGACACCAGGGACACCCCTCCGGGAGTCCTGCTGTGCCCGGGAAGCTGCCCTAGGACCCCCTTCGTTCTCCTTCTCTCCTGCAGGCAGCGCCTGGGCCACAAAGGGTTACGCAAGGCACCCTGGAGTGACACCTCTGCCACCAGCCCGGGAGCTCAACTCCTTCCTGGTCGGATCGAAGGCTCGGTGAGTTCCTAACTTTGTCCCCGGGGATCTGCCGGCCGTGCTTCCCGCCTGGGGAGGGGACCCAGCCGTGGTTTCACGTGGGGAAACCGGCCACTCTTTGTCCCTCCTTGTGTAGCTCCAGGACCCCGTGACCCTCCTGGAACTCTGCCCCACGACAGGGAGATACCCCGGGGGATCACAGCTCCACGCCCCGGGGCTGGAGGACGTGCCTCCTTCCTCCTGGTTTACACTCGGTCCGGGTTAGCTTTTCCAGAGACCTTTTCCCAGAGCAGGGGGTCGGTCTGGGTGGGGTCGGGACAGAGTAACTTCTGGGGGGTTCTGGGCCCCCGGTGCTGCATGACTAGGGCCAGAGAAGGGTCCCGCGGTTTTGCAGCACTGCCTTCGAGCAGGGACCCCGCTGACTTCGGGAAGGGTTTGGGGTCCCAGGTTGAGGACCCTCATCAGCGGGATGGGGGGGTTGGAACACAGAATGGGGGTGGAGGGGGCACGGCTGGGGTGGGCAGGGTGTGTCACTTTCTGATAAATGACCCCCCAACTTGTTGTTGTCCCCACAGTGGGTGTTGCTGGCGGTGTCACCCGGGGCCAGGCACAGCCCTGAACTGGGTACCTGGCAGTGGAATCAGCTACCCTGGCACAGCCCAGCTTCCTTTGGTTTTAAAACCCCTGGAAGACACTGCCACGGTTCATGTTTGGGGCAGAGCAGGGCGTGTGGGGCTCCCGGTGCTGTCGGTGCCCGGGGCTGGGCCGGGCCATGGTCAGCTCTGCCCAGATACTGCCCCTCCCGGCGGGGCCATTCCAAGTGCGGGCTGGTTTCTGTCGGAAACCGGCTGAGCCGGCTCCTCCTGCTGCCAGCCTCGGCCTTTGGCTGGGACAGGCCCTGCGCCAGCCCCGGGGGGGCGACTGGGGACAGGGCTGGGGTTTGGTAGCACTGTGGGCACTGCCGGTGCCAGCTGGTGATACGGGAGCTGCTGCCATCCCCACGTTGCCCCAGCCACTGCCCACGGAGAGCCACGGGCAGCAGTGGGATGCAGACATGTGGCCAGGCTGTGGTGCCCTGGTGATGGACAGTAGTGGGAGCCAGTTGGAGACCATGTGGGACTGTGCTGGGTGGCAGCAGGGGTGGCTCTGGCACAGCAGATATCATCACCCTGGGGAGGGGGATGCTCTGGCTGCCCCAGGCTGGGGTCCCTTGGACCTGTGGCTCACACCATGTGGGTGCCCTGGGAGCCTGTAAACACAGACCAGCCAACTCTGGTGACATGGCTGAAACCACCCCACTGCCACGCTGGGGGCTCCTGTCTGTCACCAGTCTTCCCAGCGCTGGTACAGGACTGTGGGTGCCACCACACTGGGGTCCTGCCGCCCCCCGGGGCACACGTGTCCCCCTCCATGTGGTGAGCACTGGCACGTGCCAGGGAGGCTCTCGGGCTGATTTCGGCAGCTCTGACACAGAGGGGAAGCAGAGGAGAAGTCTGGACTCTGCCCTCCACACCTGCCCTGCCCGGGTGAATGATTACACCGGGCTCCCCCCAGCCCTCCCCGAGGCTGCAGAGAGCTGGGTCTTGTTTCAGGGGCTGAGCTGGGGCTCATTTTGGGGGCTCAGCTGCTGTCCCAGCATCACTCCAGCCGGGGGCTGCCATGAGAAGTGCTCATGCTGGGGCTGAGCTGTGGTGCTTGCCCAGGGCTGGTTGCCAACCACTGGATCTCTGCTTGGCATCACCTCTGGCACTGCTCACAGGGCATATCTGATGCCTCTTGGTCCCACCAGAGCTGTCCCATGGCCTATTCCCTGTGGAGTTTTCCAGCTGCCTGTGGTACCAGCTTGGGGATCGAGGAAGACTGAACCAACTTTGGGAGCCAGCAGGGCCCCTGGCACGGCCACCCCAGAGCCCTGGGGCACCACAGGCCAAGTGTGTGCCATGGGGACTGGGGATGTTCAGTCTGGAGAAGATGAGACTTGGGGGAACCTCGCTGCTCTCTGTGACTCTCTGAAAGGAGGGTGTAGTGAGGTGGGGATCGGCCTCTTCTGCCATGTCTTGAGTGACAGGACCAGAGGAAATGGCCTGAAGTTGCACCAGGGCAGGTTCAAATTAGATACTAGAAAATTTTTTTTCACTGGAAGAGGGGTCAGGCCTTGGAATAAGTTGCCCGGGGAAGTGTTGGAGTCACCACCCCTGGAAGTGTTCAAGAGGCGCTTGGGGACATGGTTTAGGGGTGATTATGATGGTGCTGGGTTGATGGTTGGATTTGATGATCTTGAGGGTCTCTTCCAGCCTTGATGCTTCTGTGAGTCCCTGGTCAAACTGGCCTCTCCCTGTCCCACCCCATGGGGATTGGCAGGAGGCTCTGGCCCTGCTATCTCCCCCACCCACACGGGATCCTGCATCCCTCTGGGTTCATGCTGATGTTCCCTTCAGGGAGCCAGGAGCTGGTGGAGGGGATCCCCAAGCCCATCCCAGGAGTTTCAGCTTGGAGGTGATGTCACCCTGTCAGTCAGGCTTGTCTATCTCAGCTGGAAAATGCTGGATTTGGGGAAAACCAAAGGGTGAAGCAGGGGCAGAGGTGCTGCCAAAGCAGCTGGCAGAGCTGATGGAGCACAGAGCGGGCAGGCAGGCACTGAAACGCCATCCAAAGCAGCACTCTGGGGTCTGCCAGATCCAGGATGAAGGTGGGGAGCAAGGCCACAAGGATGGCATGGACAGGAAGTCCCACGTAGATGGGTCCTGACCTTGCCCTGCGTAAAACCTCCCCTTCCATGGACATGTGTCCAAGGGGATGGAGATGGACCCCCAGGGGGTTGATTTCACGCTGCACAGAGGCAGCTCTGGGTTCCAGAGCCAGTTGCCATGTGGGGAACAATTAATTGTTCAGGGTGTGACACAATTAGCAGTGCTGGTGCCCTGGTGGGTGCCTGGGTATCACAGGGCTCTGTCCCCTCCACCCTCGCTGTCCCTGGTGCCCACAGCTCAGCATTGCTGCTGCTCTGTGTTGCAGCCCAATGCAGGAGTGAGGAAGGAGCCAGGGGCTGCAAAGAGGAGGTGGAGCTGGTCCGAGCCCCCCTGCCAGGCGGCTGCCACTGTCCCCCTCCCCAGCTGGTGGGTGCCCACCATGGAGGAGATGGTGGTCTGGGAGCAGCACACGGTGACGCTGAGCAAGGTGAGCGTGGCCTGGGGCAGCCATGGGAGGGGACAGGGGCTGTGGGGTCGACTCTGCCTGACCCCCATCTGCCCACCCACCCCTGCCAGGACCC